TTCCAGTGAAATATATTTATGTTTGTGGTTGTAATGTGACAAAATATGGAAAAGTTCAAGGGGTATGAATACTTTTGCAAACCACTGTAGTTGTGCACATGATTACGATGCGTCATTCTGGAGAATGTCCTCACGTGCTTTGCATTCAGCACCTGTAATGTAAAATCAGAGTACAAGAGTAATCAGAAAACCAATCAAGGTATCCTAACAGTAACAGTTTCCACAGCATATACTTTGTTTTTGAAGCTTTGTGAGATGTACTTGCCTGAAAAAATTTAACGAGTAATGTACAGTAACATTTTTTCAAGGTGAAAAAAACTGTGCTGTGGGATAAGCACTAAGGTGAAAAAATCACTTCTTCTGGTCCAAATGGAACTGCTGTTGATCCTGGATAAAGATGACTCTGTAAACAGGCTGGTTTGAACAGCAAGCAACTTTATTTCTGCAGTTCAAGAAATACAGCCTAAAATCAAATTATGGCCTTCAATGCAAATGATACCCCAAGAAGAAAGATGGAGAAAGAAAGGCCAAAGGTGGGGGTGCACAGAGGTCTTTAAGCAAGCAGACATACATAAATCACAGTGTATGTGTGTGGAACTCTGAAGCTGAGTGGCTGATGACCCGCACATGTGTGCATTCTTTAGACAACCCCCACTCTTGGACACTACATAATACCCCCCTTATGGACGAACAAGTCCCGAGAGAAAAACAAGGACTGGCTGTAAATCAAGAAAAAATAACACCAAAGTACTGCAGCACAAGAGCTTTGCTGTTCAAATTCCTTGGATAATAAAACTTGTCCATTAGCAAATAAGTAAATGGTTAAGTCTAAAATTTAGAGGTTGTCTAATTTAGCTAATAACCTATTTTAAAGTCCTAAGCGCACATTATTTTAAATTACTTTAAAAGTAGGTAAACTAAGCCTAATTCCTAATGAGGCCAAAATTGGCTACATCAGTCACACCCCCAGGCCTCCTGACCGTAAACACCACCATGACTGACATGGACAAACAAGCCACGCAAACACCTTCAAAAAYCTGTGTCACAGCAGGGGACCCGAAGGCTGACTCGTCGCAATACACCTAAAATGACCATTCACGATCAGAAAAACCTCCCCATGAAACAGGGGTGGGGAAAAGACCGCAGGTCCCAGAGAGATCCTCACTCCAAGCCAATCTGTGAAGAAAACTCCGTTTGAATCTAACAATTAACATAAACTAATTTTAGGGATTTTCCAAAGCCAATCTCGTCCCGGTTTGTTACTTAAGCTAGTAAGGACAAAATGTAATGTGAGTCATGCATTAATACAAAGTGAGTTAGATATTTCCATGAGACTCAGCTCACTACATAAGATGGTCATAATATGACAGTCAAAATAATAAGTAACATATAGTAAATGATTGTCACATCAAACAATATGATATAAGGAATAAAAACCAAAGGATAAACACATAAAAAGATTATAAGGGGTCCGAACAACGGCAGTTTTTTTTCTTTTTCTTTCACCCCTGGTGCCTGAGTTCAGTCTTTTCCTGTGGCAAAAGTGTGTGAGCCAACACAACCCAGAGTCCAAGGGCTTYGTACTGTGACAGATTTATGAGTCCTGCCCAAGAATGTGAGTCCAAAGTCCATGCCTGGTGTCCTAGAAAACAGAAAACACCACACCAGTATCTTTCAAAAAATGATRAGTTTCAATACCATGCATGGAAAACAGACTTTATCATCATGTCAATAAAATGCTGATGAGTAATGTTACAAATGTCCCAGAGGTAATGTGCTGTGAGATGTGGAACTAAATACAGGAGCTGAGACACTTAAACTTCTCCTGGTGCTCAGTCAAAAATAAAGGACTGAGCCAAATCAAATTAATAAACAAAATCAAACAAAAGTAATAATAAAATATATATGTGAGAAGAAAGAAAAAATAACTATTTAGGCAAACAAAATAGGACAATAAACATATCAGTAAATAAAGAGAAAAGAAGAACATTATATGTGATGTCTTAACAGTTGCTCATGGCCAAAAATAAACACTGAAGTAATAAAAGGAAAACAATATCAATTGTATCTTCAGACCGGGCTTTCGCCAACACAACAAACAAAAAGACTCTTAACTTTCTGAGTAACTGCTGTCCAGTCTCCCAAAACAAAACAAACAAATTACATCCATCTTACCTCYCTAGATTACAAAAACAGGAGAAAACTGAATCAAACAAAAATTGGCACCCATCCTACATACCTTTCCCTTCACAGTGTGAACACACAGACCAATTGTGAAGTGTAACCAGACCAAACAAAATACTAAATTGGGTACATGTCCACAACATCATCACCCTGCATGTAAATCAGTTCTTCTTCGCTCACATTTCCATTTAATAATGGCATTTTGAGCTTGGTTGTCCGGCATCACCACTCCTACCCATCTTAAAATCAGGGCTTTTGCAAAAGTCAGCAACAGAGTACAAAAACAAAACATCATTAAAATAAGTGAAAATGCAGCCACCCAGTTCGGATCAGGATGTTAACAGATTTTTACCAGGTGGTTATTTTAGCACCACATTCAATTTTTCACAAATGCCTTGGCTCTCAAGGTGATAAACAGATCCAATRTGTTGTTTAATTCTTAACTTTTATAGGATCAGTTTTACAGTTTTATCTACAAACTCCCATTACCCGATGAAATCCTATCCGAAGTCCCCATCTGGGTATAACTTCACAACACAGAAAGTTAGCAACAGGATGGGCATCCTTCCAATTGGTTCGACAGGCCTTTGGCCATTTGACTTAACCCTGTCCCAGTTTGTTGACAGAGAACAACACATACATTTCCATCTACAGTTGAGATGGACACATATAAGACAAAGCATTTTTTAAATTTGTTATTATTATAATTATTAGTATTTTTAATAATCAGGTAAAGCTAATGCTGGCTCTTCCCCCCTCCATTTTTTATAGCAGTGGAGGTTGATTCTGTTGGGTTTGCATTACAACAGCTCAAGTCTTGTCTTTATATTTACTGACCATYAGTTGCATCTGGGTGAGCTTTCTGAGCATCTCCTGGTCTTGTCGGTCCTGAGCTTGTTCCCTTTTACTATGTAAATCAACCAGGTGTGTCACATGGTCAGTGTACACACTTCTCATCATGCTGCCCAATTCAACCACCTCTGCCAATTTGTTTCTGACTGGTGGTGGCAGCACTTCTTGGATCTTTGCTCGGAGAATGGACTGTTCCATACGGTAGAAATCTGGGTCATTTCCGGTAATATTTCTCCAGGCTTGATGAGCTCTTGACACATAGGCTCTTGCATTCTCCTGTTCCCCCATCGGTGAGATGATTATATTATCTGGATGAACATTAG